GACGCGGGGCTCGGGCCGGACCCGGCGCGTCGGGCAGCGCTGGAGCGCGCGGAGGTCGAGCGGGCCCTCTCGTCCAGCCCGGACGCGGCCCCGTCGTGGTGGCCGGGGCAGGGCGGTGCGGACCCCGGCCGGTGGGCTCCGGGCAGGGGTTCTAACCAGCGGGGCGTGCAGCTGGCAGGGGCGGTGGGTGGCCAGGGAGGGGAGCCCTGGGACGGGCCCGGGTGCGAGCGGCTCTGGGCGAGGCCGTGCCCGCTGCCAGGCTGGGCTCCCCAGTAGGGCACTGTGTCCTTGTTGGAGTGGCTGGCCTGACCCGCGGCGGGTTTGCACCTGCAGATGTCTTGTCGCCCTGTGGTGCGGACAGCCCTAAGAGGCCGAGGCCCCTAGGACAGACCGTTCCAGTAAATGACATTATGTAAAGCGGTCCGACTTTTCCTTTGTGCCCTTGTTATTTGCAAATCTCGAATTTACGACGACTCTATTAATAGGAGCAGTGTAGGATTCCCTTCTTGTCAGCTGTGGTTACTTACCTTTGCTGATAGAACCAGTTTTCCACAAGGCTACAGAAGCATTTCAATGTCAAAGAAAATCTCCGGAAACTCCTTGGACGTAGTAGAGAATGGGTACCCAGGCTTTGGGATATTTATGCGCACTTATTTGGTCCTTTGGTAAAAACCAAACCAAACCTGACTTTCTGTTTTGGCCAAGGCATTGGGCCTGAGGTCATACTAAAGTGAATGTAACAACTAATCAAGAAAGAATGTTCATTTATCCTCTCAATAACCTTCTGAACCAGGAATTTTGTTGTTTTACTCCTGGAAGCCACCCAGTGTAGTAGATGCTTTAACTGTTCTCGTTTTAAAGACAAAATCAGCTACAGAGAAGTTAAGGACACACAGCAGAGCAAATAAGTTGAAGGGTTTTCCAATCCAGAGTCCTTCACTTGGTTGGGTGCTTTGCTAGCAATTAGGGGAGAGATCTGCTCTAATAACTTACATCAAACAGCCACAATAATGCCACACTAAGTAGGATTTCTCCTCTCTAATTTTGAGTTACAAAGATTTCCCTTTATTGGTTCAAAGCTGTGGAAGCACATAGATGATCAAAAGCGGAGAGTTTTGAGGCAAAGATAGGGGAAACAGGCTTTGGGGCCTGGCGTGAAAGCATCCTGCTAATGGTAAGATAGTTCAGCTACTCTGAGTATTTTTCAGTCATTTGTATTTGATTTAGGATTAGTGGTATAAACTGCCCTCATCAATAAGCTAGTTCCTACTCTCTGCCCAGAAAGTTACAGCATGAATGAAATGGCCTTTTTTTTTTTTTAAGAAATTGGCCTCTGAAGGCCTTGGTGCTGTTGATGTCTGATGCCCCTGCCAGGAATCTGCTCAACATCAAAAAAATTTTTTTCCCAGTAGGCAGGACAAATCCCCAGCGTCAAGTCCATGAAATAGAAGTCCACCTTTAAAACATTGCAAAATCTCATGAATCCTAGCATTGCTAGAGCCTAAAAGGGCCCCAGAAACCTGCTATTCTCTTTTTATAGATGAGCAGCTCGAGGCTTAGAGAGGTTCAAGTAAGACACCCCAGTAGCCAACTTGGACAGTAGGGGGCTGTACTGAAAGTCAGCTTCGTTCTTTTGTTGATGAGGTCTGAAAAAGCTTTGTCAGTTCTGTAAAAAAGGGTAACTTGGGGGGGGGGCTGGAATGACTGGAAGAGAGTTGGGTAAGTCAGGAGCTTGGAATAGAGAGCAGGTCATTCAGTACTGATCGGTAGGAAAAAATTCTTCCTCAGGATAATACTTACCTTTTACTTTATATCTCCTTTTTTGGTGTAGACTCAGTGAAAGTTTGGATGTGTAGCTAAATTTCGAATTCACGTTTTTTTCTTGTCAGCTGTGAATAACTCTCCATGTGACCCATGAATGGAGGAGGCTCTTTACAGAATTTAGGAATGCTTTAAGACTGAGGTGAAATACACGTGGGAAGACTGTAGATTAAAAACTGTCCATTCAAATGCAAAGGACCATCCACACACATTTTTAGTTGCATGCCTGAATCCGTCTTGATTTTGTTCTCTCTGTACTGAATATCTTTCCTTTCCTTTTCTGAGCCACATAAAAGGTCACAGTCACCTTCTTTGTTCCATTCAGGAACTCACTGCCTCTGCTCCTAGTGTTGACTTTTCTTGGCTCCCAGTGCGTGGCCTATTCCAGCTTGATCTTACAAGTGCCCATAAGGACAGAGCCTCTGAAACTGTCCCTAGTACAGTTTGTTGATTTAAAGGCCATCTTTTTAAAGCACTGCCCGGAATGAGACTTTCCATTACCAGTGCTCCTTGTTAGTAATTTAAAGAGCTTTCTTCAGCACCTGTGGCAACAGTTCTGCAATAAAAAAAGAGCCCAAACTCTCTTCCTAGGGAGTCTGGAAAAATGCTTGTGGAACGCGCTGGGATCTGGTGCTCAGCCAGGGCATGCCTAGTGGATGGCTCAGAACCTGCAGGCCTAGTTGGTGCTGCTCGTGCTGCTCTAGAACCTCTCCTTGACTGGTAGAGGTTCTAGGTCCTCTGCTGCTTCCTGTTCTTGGAAGAAGGAAATAAAAAATAGAGGAGCACTCCGAGGTGTAGCGTACTCCACGGCCCTGGGGATCTGCCTTCGAGGGAAACAGGAAGACGAGGTGCCTTCCTAAGGGCAAAGGCACCGTAGCTTGGGCACGTTTAATTCTCTTGAGAAGTGCGCCTGGCAGACACGAATCTTGGGTTCACTTGGGCAGCCTCAGCTTGGGGATCTCGCTGCGATGGGTGGGGTGCGCTTTGTAACTCACTGCTGGGAGGGGTGCATCAGGTAATTTAAGAGAGACTCAAAGGTAACTGATTACATGTAACTTTTTGCTGCACATTTTGATTAAGAAGATCTTTTAAGACATGACTCAATTCTTTAGGTGTGTGTGTGTGTGTGTGTGTGTGCATATGTGTGTGAATCTCTAGCTACATAAGGATCAAATAGACTTGTATGTGACTTAGGCTTGGAATTGAATAGTAATTTATGACTCCCAGGTTTTAGAGAAAACCTTGGAAGAATCTTCTATAAGAACTTCCAGATAAATTCTTTGTAGATGTCTACATTTAGCTGTTACATTCTAAGGTGTTTAGATTAGCAATTTAGATATTAATGTTCAAAAGACAAAGTACTTTTTCTTGGCATAGAAACCATTTCTTATCTCTCCCCTTAGCAATTTGCTTACAAGGAAACCAGAAAGTTGGCGGCGTGTGTCAACATGGCAAACCTGCTGAAAACGGTGGTGACCGGCTGCTCCTGTCCTTTACTTAGCAATTTGGGGTCCTGCAAGGTTCTGCCTGGGAAAAAGGATTTTTCCCGAACATTTCATAGTCATCAGGCACTGTGGTGTAAAGCCCCTGTGAAACCAGGTAAAGTTCTTTGTTAAATTTATTTTCTATTTTAAAGAGAAAAAAATTAAAATTTTACAACGTGGTAATGAGAGGGAAACAGTGGTTAGTATGTTGCAAGTCATCGTTAAATCAGTATCTCAGAGTACAAGATATAGGCATTTAATTGTTCAAACAATATTATCACAAACCTTTCTTTTCAATGAACTAAGAAATTAGTAGTATAACTGTTAACTGTTTTTGTGTGTGTGTATATATATGTGTGTGTGTATGTACTTATTTTTTTGCTTGTCCCTTCTTTTCTCCTTTCCCTTGCCCCAATTTCTCTTTTCTCTTGAGCGATATAGTTTCCACTATTTGCTGTATGTTTTGTGCTGTACTTGCTTTTTCCTGGAGAGTCTCACTCCGGGGAGATGATGTGATGCTTACACAGGCAGGGCAGGGTTATGTCACTGATGAGTGTGGTTTTGAGTTGCATCTGTTTACTTAGGTCTCGAGTTTATCCTTCTTTACAGCTGAGTTGTATTCCACTATATAAAAAGACCACATCTTTTTAGCCATTCCCTGTTTGATGGGCATTTGGGTTGCTTCCAAGACTTAGCTATGACAAATTGCTTTGCTATAAACATGGGTGCACATGTATTGCCGTGGTACAATGTTTTTAATTCTTCTGGGAAGATACCTGGGGGGAAATGTCTGGGTCAAGTGGGACCTCCACTCTTACTTTTCTGAGGAATCTCCCACTGATTTCACAGCGGCTGCACCGGCCTGCACTTGTACCAACAGGGCTGAAGGGCTCCTTTTCCCCCACAGCCCTGCAAGCATTTGTTACTGGATGATTTCTTGATGATAGCCATTCTTTCCCAGGTATGATGGAATAGCAGTGTTGTTTTAATTAACTTGGTAAAGTCTTACATCCACATTTGCTTCAGATAATAGGAGCTTATACTTCTCTTGGTTATAGATAAAAGGCAAAGCTGTGTAGTTTTATGTACTGCTGTTCATTTTTGTAAAAGACAAGGGAGTGCTGTTTTATGTTTGCTATGTATAGAATTTCCTGAATGCCTTTGCTAACAGAGAAGAACTAATAGAAAAAGGTAAAGATGAACCAGTTGAGTTGAGGGTGCCCATTGCCCATACTGTTTCTCTGAGCAGCCTTCCCTTATTCTTGGTTAATATTAGGCAATTGTACCACATCTAGCGCATCTGTACTCCAGAACTGGGGATTAGGTGTGTTAATTGACCTATGTTAATGTGTGCTGATTTAGTACATAGCAGTTTCATCTCAGTCCTGCTCAGAACCCTTGGAATTACCCCTGCACAGATCCCCTGCAGCTCCACCTTTTGCCTACGTATGTCTCAATATGCGTGACTTTCTCAGCATTGCTGATCCAGGCCACCATGGTGATGTGCTGGCCCCATGAATAGTCTCTGCATTTCTGATTCTGTTGCCCCTACAGAGTTCTGCACATGACAGTGAGAATAATCTCTTCAAGTGTAAGATCTTGCTGCTTCTCTCAAAATTCCCCACCACTGTCCTGGTGCTTGGGAAGGCGCTAAGACCTTCCAGAGACCTTCCGCAGTCTTTCAAAGCCTTCTCTGCTATTATGAACCTCGCTTGCTTCTATTCAGGGAAGGGGAGAAAGAGCAGAGTCTAAAAGAGGATGCTGGGGGCCTGCCCCGTAGCTCAGTTCTTTAAGTGGCTGCTTCAACCAAGCAGTCAGGCCCACGTTGCTGCAGTTAGAGCCCCACAGCTCAAGCCAGCCAAAGCTGCCCTGAAGGCATTCGGAGCAAAAAATATATATATATAAATAAATAAAATAAATAAATAAAATAAAATAAAAGAGGATGCTTTTTAAAAAAATAAAATTAAATCCAAATTTTAATGATTTAAAATTACATATCTCAAACTTCTAAAATGGAATAGAACCATCTTGGAATGAAGAAGTGGCCCAAATGAACACAGACATCCCTTGAAACTCAAATTTTATGAAGAAAGCAGTTCATCTGCAAATCGCACCCTGGACAGGGGGATGCCTCTAAGTGGAGTTCTCTACCTTTTATTTTTATTTTTATTTTTATTTTTTAAACATTTATTTATTTTTATTACATTTATTTATTGTGTGTGTGTGTGGCCAGCTCAGCCCACCAGGGGGCGGGGCCGGCTGGCATGTGGTGCTGGGGATTGAACCACGGTCCCTGTGCCTTGCCAAGCCCGTTCCAAGTAGGTGCTCTAGACCACTGAGCCATCCCCCCAGCCCCTTCTCTACCTTTTAGAAGTCTTTGCAAAGGCTGTTCCAGTATTTCTCTGTGCCTTTCATTGGCTAGGCTTTAGGTGAATGCCCGTTTACTTGGGAGATTTAGACATTTAGCTTTTGCTCCCGAAGGCAACATAGCCAGCCAAAAATGCCATTTTGTTGCTGAGGTGGAGGAGTAGGGCGCATGTTGGGGATGGCTTTTGTTACACATAGCATCTTTCTTCACCTTTAAATTTGTAGGACTTCTTTCATGAGGGCTCTTGAACTGCTAGGCATTTGAGGTTTTTGTTTGTTTGGGTCTGGGTTGGTTCGATTTTGTGGCCTTTCTCCCTTGTCCTTAGTCGATAAGCCGGTACTGTCAGGATCCCTTTTCCTAAGAGCTCCCGACTTCATCTTCACCTGCTTTCTTTTAAACTGCTGTAGGAGGCCAGGCGACCCAGTGGGTAAAACTGTGTGTAATATGAAAGCACATGACCTTGGAGGACGCGACCCTTGTTCTTGTGAGACTATCCATGGACTTAAGTGCGCTGTTACCCACGTGTAAGACTTTTTTTTTTTTATTCGGTTTCTGACTCTTCTCTAGATAACATTCACTAAAGATCACATATTGTACTTGTTTGCTGTGTCTCCGAGGTTTGTTTTGAGCTGTAGATTCTGTTCTACTTTTTTCTTAAAATGTACTTGTGGAAGAGTTTGTTACCCTGTATAATTTCCTAGTGCTCTAAGTTTGGCTGATTGAATCCTATTGGTTTTGTTTAACCAGTTTCTCTGTCTCTTTTATTTTTTGTAATATTTAGAGGGATAGGGAGGCTGAATTGGACTTAGCTATGCTATTTGGTTGTCATTTTGCTCAGTTAGACTTCAGCTCTCCTTGTTGGGCAGCCCTACTTCCTTGGTGCCGTTGCATTTCATCAGGAAGATTAATTAGTGAGCTTCCCGGTTGTGAAGCCTCTGTGAGTTTTTCACCGAGAGGGTGTAATGGCCGTTTGGCTGATGGCCGTGAACATGCTGGAGGCTTCAGACTGGTGACATTTCATCGTTCCGCATTCCTTTACAAGAGAGAAATTTTCTATAAAGAAATCCTTTTGTGCTACCATTTGGTTATGCCAAGATTACACTGGAAAGCTGAAGTAAAGGTTTGAGTCTTTCTTGTTATGTACTGGTTTTGCTAATAATCAGTTAGACTCTTTGCATAGAGTCCCCCAGTCCATTGTAGCAGTGTCAGGCCTGTGCCACTGCCGCACAACACGAATGTGTTATCTTGTGCTTAGGGAAGTCAAAGTCCAAAGCAGGGCTCCCTGGGCTTACATCGAGGCTTTGGCAGGTCTGCATCCTCATGGATGTGCCGGGGGCGTTGGCCCTTGTGCTTTTTCCTGCTTTGAAGGAGCATGTGTGGTTGTTTGATTCTGGCCCTTCTTCCACCTTCAGAGCAACAGTGTAGGATCTTCAGTTAGTCCTGGTTCTGACTCTGCGGCCTTCCTCCTCCACATGCAGGGCTGTCAGAGAATCCGCATTGTGTTTTCCTGTTTGAAGCTCAGCTGGTTAGTACCCTTGCTTTCTTCAGCTACGATAGGGCCCCTCTGCCCTGTTCTTTACACATTTACGGGTACTGGGGACTAGAGCACAGGGATCAGTAAAACTTTAAGGGATACTGTTTTTTTTTTTTTTGGTGGTACAACACCAACTCATGTATTTTAACATCTTTGGATGTGTTTTGTTCTATTACCATTGATGCTCAATTCACCATGTTTGACCACTGGAAGCTACTCAAAGCTGAGTTTCAAGTGCTTTTGATATAACTTGAGTCATCACCGGCCCCTTCCTTAACTTTTGGCTTATAGGACCTGTATATGAGGTTTTCTGATAACTGCACTCCTGAGAGTACATGTGACTTAATTTTGTGCATCAGGCTAAATATTTCCCAGCTTTCTGTTTCTCCCCTCAAAAAAGGAGTAAGCATTTGTTTGTCTTCACTGTCCTAATTGTTAATGCATAAGTAATATGGGAATCTAAGTAAGAGGGGAATCATCCATGTAGATTTAGGTTGGTGTGGTCTCTCCAAGTCTTTCATAATAACTTACTCTGTATGGATGAGCTGATTCTTTTTTTTATTGCATGTAGTTAGAGTTCAGGTCGAAAGAGTGGATTTCCTACACTTTAATAGAAACAGATACTCTGTTTAAAATGTGCTCATACCCTCGAGCCGCCCAGAACCGGGTGTGAACAGAAGCTTGCCCTGCATGGCCCTTCTGGCCCTGGGGCAGCATGGCCCGTTACACTTTCTGAAGCCCATTACTGTGCATTCTTGGGAGGTCTGGGAGCAGCGCACCTTTCCTCCTGGGAAGAAGCAAGGGGTGGTGCTCCGGGTTCCTGGCTGTGCCTGTCTTCTCCGTGTGCCTCGTGCCTACTGCTGCTGGGCCTCCCACCACTGCTCTTGACCTTCCTTGACAGCCTCAGGACTGTGCTTACAAATACCTTCTGTACCGTTCTGCTCTCTGGTCTCCTTTGTGGGCCAGGCTTCCTGGGGAGAGCCTGATTGGCTTGAATAGTCTCTGGCCAACACTGAATGTCTTTAAGCAGAGTCCCTGTGCAGGTCACTTGTAGGCTGCACTGCTGGGTTTCCTGCCATGTGCCCCGTGGACAGTTATCTCTGACCTACTTGTCATTCCTTGTCTATTTATTGCTAATTGTGTGCGATCTCATGGTACAGCATTTGGAAGTCTCTGAGGAATTTCTAGGGGCCAAATTGCCAGGGAGGAGCTTAGGTGTGTTAGGCCACTGAAGTGTATTGTATAGGATTAAAAAATGGTGGTCTACTTCTGTCTTTGAGAAAGCTCGATACAGGGAGAATAATCTTAGCAGACTAACTTGGGCTGTAGAATTTGCATGCCGTGTGCCCTCTCTGCGCGCTTTCTTCCATAAGTGTGTGCTGAGCTTAATGTGCCTGGAATAGAGCCATTTGACTGTACAGAGCTTAGATGAGAATGGGGGCATGTGGTTTTCATCATTTATTAAAAAAGTGAAAGAATTATAGTTTTGAATCAAGAACATCATTTTGAATAGCATGTTGAGAGTAACTTAGCTTGGATAGGCTGCTGATTTTCAGAAATCTGCTGTTTTAAAAAAAGCTTTGTTTTTGCCTTTGTCTTTTTGCAGGAATTCCATATAAGCAGCTGACGGTTGGTGTTCCCAAGGAGATTTTCCAAAATGAGAAGCGGGTAGCGTTGTCTCCTGCTGGCGTTCAGGCCTTGGTCAAGCAGGGCTTTAATGTCATTGTAGAATCAGGAGCAGGCGAAGCATCCAAGTTCTCGGATGATCACTACCGAGCCGTGGGTGCCCAAATCCAAGGGGCAAAGCAAGCCCTGGCTTCCGATTTGGTGGTCAAGGTAATATTCTTCTGTGTCTCCTGACAGCACGTTGACTGTTGAAGGCTTTTTTGCGGAAATATTACTTTCATTTTTTGGCTTTTCCAATGTCCTTGGTTTTTCATTGACACATAATAATTGTACACATTTATGGGATACCAGCGCCACATTTTGGCATATGTGTACAATGTGTAATGATCAAATGAAGGTTTAACACATCTGTCCTTAATCATTTTCACTTTTCCTCTCTTCAACAACACCTTTTCACCAAAGAAATGACTGTGTTTCGTGGGAGTTTTTCATGCTTCTGTAGAACTTTTATCAGGCAAAGTGACATATGTTTAACCCGAGGAGTAGTGACATTCACTTCTGCGTTTGCTGCACAGAAGTTCCTTCTTACTTGGCTGGGGGGTGTGCGTGCCACATCCGCCCAATCCAGAGTACCCACCAGTGAGCATTTAACTCCACTAGAATGGAAAGCACGTGCCAAGGGCAGCCTGGGACTGAATGTTCAGTGTCCGCTGCCTGAAGGCACAGTGATTCATGTTACAGAAAGCTGCTTCTAGAGAAGGCCTGACTGTCCTGGAAAGGCAGCTTCGGGCCGAGTGGCAAGTAGGCTCACTGACTCTGAAGGGCATCACACAGTTCAGAAGTCTAGGCTGAAAAGCTTCAGTGGCAAAATCTGAAGTGAAAAATGACGTCAGGAGAGAGAGCCTGTATCAAGAGTAGCTCAGATGCTAACAAGAGCTAAGAATTTAAATTCTAAGCCACCACCAACCAAGTCACACGGGGATGCTTGGATTATAGAAGTGTGACTACTGGATTAAAATACATTCTTGTAGTAATTTCTAAGCTGATTCAGTTATACAGTTTTTTATTTTTTAATCAGAGACTTCTGAGAAACATGGCAGGATCACTTTAGTTGGGTGTTGGTGTTTGAGCTCAGGGCTTCAAGCAGGCTAAACGTGGGGTTGGCCACTGAACCACCACCTTATCCCTGACACGTTCCCAAGTGGTGGCTTGTGCAAAAGATGCAAAACTAATAGTGTAGAAAATTTGCAACATGGAGATAAATCGTAATTCAGCAAAAACTTCTCAAAGTCTTAGTTATATGGATACTTAGTGATATAATTTAGTATATACTAAAAGAATAGGGATAAGAGAGAAAAAAAATACACGTTGCTATGCTGTTTACTTGTTTATTTTGGTACTAGGGATCGAACTCAGGACCTTGCGCTTGCCAGACAGGGGCTTAAGCCACTGAGCTGTCTTAGCCCTGCAGTGTGTTATAAAGGGCAAAACCTTTTGAACTGTTCCTCCAAAAAGGTTTTAGGTATATCTATAAATTTTAAAAATGTTGTTGTCAGGGGCCAGTGAGATGGCTCAGTGGAATAAGCGCTTCCCTGGCAAGTGCAAGGGCCTGAGTTCCATCCCCGGTTCCAGAAAAAAAAAAAGCTGTTGTCTTCTTAGGGATTCATAATGTATATGGGCTCATGGAAAGATGCGCTGAGAAATCTGTAACATAGAAACTTGCAACTTTACACTAGAACTGATGTTCTCTTGGACCTGGGGTCGTTCTGTCGAGTCAGCCTTGCTCACACCCTGGGAGCAGATGAGAGATCACACGTGGTGGCCTGGCCTGCTCAGACGCCGAAGTCCCACTGAGCCTTTATGAGAGGGCAGTAGAATCAATTCAGAGTTGCCTCCCAAATTCTTACTAAATGCACGTTATAGATTTTCATGGAGGAAAGACAGGCCTTGTTAAGTGCGTGTGTGTGCGTGTGTGCACACATGTGTGTGTCTGGTGTGCTGGGGACAGAGGTGTGCACCAGCTGCACTTCCACTCAGACACTTTGCATGGTCGTGTGTGGCTGGCATCCGAGGCCTGCGCCTGCTGACAACTGCTCTGCCCAGAGCTACGTCCCCGGGCCAGCGAGGACTTTTAGGGTTCCCGCTTCAGAATGGCGTGTTCACCAGGTCAGCACTCAAACGGTGCGCAGGTGGATCGAGGTGAAACGTGGTAGGCGCCAACTGACTGAGTGTGTAGACCAGGAGCCAGGCAAGTGCGCTGGTCCTTGCTAAAGGCAGGAATAGACTACAGCCTTGCACTTGGGCCTGGTGCAGCAGAGCTCCCAGCTTGAATAGCGCTTGTCTGCAAATAGTCATCCAGAGTCTCGGGTGACGCTCTTCTGCACTCACTGTCTGGGAGAGTTGAGTCTACAACGCCTCCAGTATTTCCCCACCTCACGTGGGGAAGTTGCGTGCTTGCCAAAATGAGCAAGAACTGAACCTTTGAGCGTGTGAGGAAACGGTATTCTAACGTCTAATTTTACTAGACTAATAGGTTTTGGAGGACGACTTATTATACCTCCATATTACACCACTCTGTAGTTGGCGGTCAAAGCTGACCTGGTGATAGGTGTTTCCTGGTGTGTTTTCTTTGCTCAACACCATCCAGAGTCAGTAGTGAGGAACAGATGGCATGGGGATGGACACTAAATGAAGAAAGGTTGACTTCTGGAGCGTTACAGGATTTCATTCATGGAATATAAGAAGTTATACCGTTCACTTAACAGTGTGATCTGTATATCTACACATAGTGGGAAAATCCGTGCTAAGGAGCCCTGGCCCTGCATGTGGGAGGCGTGCGCTGGCCACTGCAGCATCCTGGCCTGGTGTCATCTTTTCATCAAAATTTGACTTTGTTTTCAGGTGCGAGCCCCCATGGTTAATCCAGCATCAGGTGTCCACGAAGCTGACCTTTTAAAGACATCAGGAACGTTGATAAGTTTTATTTACCCAGCTCAAAATCCAGACTTGCTAGATAAGCTTTCCAAAAGAAAAACGACAGTTGTGGCAATGGACCAGGTTCCCAGAGTGACCATCGCTCAGGGTTATGACGCCCTGAGTTCCATGGCCAACATTGCTGGGTAAGTTGGTTCTTTCTCATTTTGTTTGACCAGAGACACAACAGTGGTTAGTGAACGCTCGCGCTGTACAGATCTTCTCTATTACTACCTCGTTGTAATTGTTGGAGACCGCAGCCTTTTGAGTAAAGTGCATTCAAATTATTTGTATGAATCACTGTTTCACAATAATCAGATAAGAAATTCTACTTTATGCTCTCCTTTAATCTTCATTGATAGGGAGACATAGTATGTCCATCTACCAAAGGAAATAACTGTCAGATTATTTGTTTGACCAGTAATCCATATTTTCATCCTATGTATATATCTATAAACAAGGTTGAATTTGAAAGTTCTTATAACTAAATATAAGAGTTATTATTTAGTGTCTTTTGTCTGAGAAGCTTAGGATGATGCATCTTTCAGATTTTTTTTTTTCAGATTTTGGAATGTTTGAACATACATAATGAGGTATTTTTAGTTTAGGGACCCAAGTTTAAACATGAAGTTCAATGATGTTTCATATACACCTTATATACATAGTGTTAAGATATTTTTTTTTTTTTTTTGGCGGAACCAGGGATTGAACTCAGGCCCTTGCGCTTGCCAGGGAAGCGCTTATTCCACTGGGCCATCTCCCCAGCCTTCAAGATAATTTTATAAAAGGTTTTGATATCTTTGTGTGTGAAGTAGTTTGTGCATTGTAGCTGAAGGGCCTGGAGTTTTTTATGTTTTGGTACTGGGGTTTGAACCCAGGGCCTTGTACATACTAGATGTGTATTCAACTGCTGAACTTTTTAAAAAAGTCTCAGCCTTTTTTAAATTTGATTTTGAGACAAGGTCTCACTAAGCTGACCAGGCTGGCCTTGAGTCTTCCTCCCTCAGTCTCCTTAGTACCTGGAATTACAGGCCTGCGCCCCTGTACCCATGTGCTTTGGGGCTGTGGAAGGCACCATTTTGCACACCTGTACCTTGATGGCAACCGTTGCAGGAGGTCAGGTGGGCAGTTTCTACTTGCTACTTATGTCAGTGCTCTCAAATCTTTTAAATTTTAGAATGTTTCAGTGTTAGAATTTTGGGAGGGACGCACATGGATCGTTGAGGGAGGAAGGGGACACCTGCCTAGCCAGCCAGATCAGCCGAATCAACCCTGGCGATCAATGGGGTGACATGTCGCAGCCAGATCGCCCTCACATCCAGTGTTAGAATTTTGGATTAGGGATGCCCAACCTGAGTGTATGTGTCAGTAGACTTTCCATCTTAAAAGTTTTTCTTAGGTGAATTCATGAAATTTTTACCAAGTGGGGGAAATACCTACATTAGGTGGAGCTACCTGGTGTGCCCGCCGTAGTGTGGACTGAGCTCTGTCTTCTCGTCTCTGAGGCGTGACGGTCACAGGCTTCGCTGGCCTGCCGGCTCAGCCGCTTTGCCTGCGTATGGCCTGGAGTGCCGCCAGACGGAGGCAGCTAGGAGTAGTCATGCCTGGACGGGTAAGGGGTAGAAATAGGTGACTAGTAAGCAGTGTTGCTGACGTTGCCCAAGAGGGCAGGAATGATCAGGAAATAGGGCAGCACTATAGCCCAGCTCTTCTGAGACATTACTAAGATTGTAAGCATGAAAACTATTATTAGTTGGAAATTTGCTAACATGAATAAGGTATAAATAAGATATTGTCCTCTCTGACCAAGATACTCCCCTTCTGGGATCCTCCCAGAAGAGTTCAAAGCCTCATACCACAGTGATATGTGTGCGCCATGTTGATGGCAGCACACTTTGTCGTGGCCACATCTTGGAAACAACCCCACAGCCCATCACCTGAAGAATGGTAAAGAAGATGCGGTATTTTTCTACAGTGGAACATTGCCCAGCCATAAAGAAAGATAAACTTCAGGCTTGTATAGGTAAATGGATGCGACTAGAGACCGTACTCATGAGTGAAATAAATCAGACTCACGTGTGTAAACATTGTGTTCTCTCCTTAGTGTAAGAAACTAAAAGAGTAGATAGTATTGAAAAGATATAGTAGATATTGTGAAAAGAAAAGAAACTGCTCAAAAGAAAAGAACAACTAGGCTGAGGAAAAGGAGAAAAGAAGGAAGGGGAAGAGTATACAGACATACACACGCCCACAAGATAGCTAAGATAGCTGTACTACTAATTTCTTTAAGGTTTTTTTTTTTGTGTTAGGGAAGGGTCTACAGGGTGTTCAGGGTCTCACTACTAGATCAGACTTGGGGCCGGGGAGATGACTCAATGGAATAAGCACTTCCCTGGCAAGTGCGAGGGCCTGAGTTCAATCCCCGGTTGGGGGTGGGGTGGGGTGGGGTGGGGGTGGGGAAGACTAGATCAGACTCATAGTGATCCGCCTGTTTACAGCCTCCCAAGAGCTGGGATCACAGGGGTGCGCCCCCACACCCAGTCTCAGCTGCCATCTCAGCATGCCTCGGGGCTATCTTTAAGTTTTTTGAAAGGAACAGTTAGTGCTTATGTTGCTTGGTCTATTTCATGTGCCTGTATCTGGTAACCTGACAGCTACTGTGAAGATGACAATATGTGATGCAACAACTAGTGTTAATAGCCTATCATCTTGTTTTGGAATTCTGTGTTTTTTAAAATTTTCTTAAAAGAAAGAAAATATATAAAAAATAGTGCTTTGGGGGAAAAAAAGATCAATATGAATAAAGCCTTCGCAGCCTGACACAGGAACTGACCGCTTTTCTTAGGGTTTGTTTCAGGCATAGCATATCAGATATGCCACAGATTCTCCTTGGTGTTTCAGCTGTTCTCTCTTGATAAGAATGAGAAGCAGTAAACAAAAATGACAAGTTAAAAATGCTTTTGTTGTTCTGCATGTAATGTGGCAAGAGGCTTGTCAGATGATCTTATTTTCTGTATAAATAATGTGCTGAAGGACAAAGGGAATTCTTGCCGTATGTGAGCTTGTAAAAGAGTTAATTTTGTGCAATGTAGGACTGAAAATTTTAAATAAGAAATGTAAAATGTAAAGGGCGCTGTGGCTCTGTGATGTGAAAAGCACACATGTGAAAGAGTCGTGTCAGTAGCTCAGCAGGGTGTGAGGAGTGTGCCTGTCGCAGGCCTGGGCCCTGAGCAGGAGGTTCATCAGTGTGGCCTCCCCAGAGGAGCCTGCCTCAGCAGCCCGCCAGCCAGCACGCAGCCCGGCGTTCGGGGTCACTGGGCTTTAGCATCACGATGCATTGAGCAAGAGATAAATGAACAAAAACTCAGAAGCCAAGTGTAATAGGCCAGACTATGCCTGGAGGCGTGGAGATCGTGGAGAGCACCGGAAACAGGCCAGCTCCGCCCCCAACCTGTGCACCCCGGTTTGTCTGACTTGTAAGACTGACAGGGGATGCAGCTTAGAGCCGAGAAGTGCATCTTCTGGCGGAGCTGCTCTTCCAGGTGTGATAAGTTCTCTAACTCATGCACAGCGGTGTTAGAGTGAAGCTGTGTGGCTTCCCGCTTGGTGTGGTTCGCTGTGAGCTTCTTGGCTGGGGTGGGTGGAGGAGGGAGGCCAGGTCATCTCTTCCAGCAGAAATGTTTTCTTACACATTTCAAACAGTCTCACTTTTGCAGTTTTTCCCAGAGTCATAGCTGAATTTTAGAAATGCTAATTTACCTTTGAATGTTTCTATTTGCACTTTGAAAAATTCTACTACTTGAATTCAAGAATAAGACTAACAGAATAACCTCTACAATATTATGTTGCTGCTCTACCATGATTAACCTAAAGCAATAGTAATGGCCTACATGTTCTGTGCATACATTTTCACATCGAGCATTATTATGTAACGATGATCAAGGGGAGGTTCTTTTGCCTATTAGCAAGTAGGACTCAACACTGAATAGCTGGAGTATGATGTTGGGTGTGTGTTACCCAGAGGCAGTGTATAAAATTACCTTCAGGTATAAAATGATACGAAAATGAGGTCAGTGTATATAAAAATTATGTCAAGAAAAATGTGTGGCGCATGATTAGGTTTTAGTGCGTAGCTACTTTAGCCAGAATACTCACTATTTAGTATCCCATCGTAAATGCCCATACTTGCTGTGTGGTAGGGATGATGCCCAGGGCTTCCCTGGCCATGTCCTTTGGTCCTCACATTCACTTGCAGAGAGAGATAGATGCTCATCTTGTCTCCTCTTATAGATGCAGAAACCGGAAATCAAAGAAATTTGCCAACGTCACAAAGACAGTCCTTTTAAGACCAGGACATGAGCTAGAGTCCGTTTGTCTCAGGCTGTGCTTTCTGTTGTTAAAGACCAAGGGCAGTGTGTTTGTTCTCCTTGAGGTTAGAAACTTCTTACGTGCAGGCATATAGCTAATGTAATTCTTTTTTTATTTACAAGTTCTACGTGTTATACAGTCATCAGAGAAAATTTGAACAAAGTTGAAAGAGAACGTTTAAAGCGAAAGTTTAAAGCATTCAGTAGCTTCTAAAAGAATTTGTTAGTGTTTTCTTGATTTTTTTTTATTATTTTAACAACGTCAGCTGTATTTACCTGCTGTATTTATCATGAAGAGGTTGGGCGGCATCCTGGACAGGTCGTCTCTGGCCAGCCTGCTTGGGTTAGACCTGTGGTTCCCAGGAATGAGCTGGGCCCTGTCGTCCTCTCTCTTGTGGCTCTGTTTTACCTTTACTGTTGGGAGGGCTTGCTGGGGAGGTGAAGGGAGTCAGCGTGTGCAGCACCTAAAACTCCGCTATGTGGTAGGTGTGGTGTGTGCGTTAGCAGTTATTCCTGGACACAGCTTCATTTCTAACTTATGATGGTGTGTGCATTTCAGAGCTTTGATTTCATTTAATTATCTGTTTATTTTTTAAGTTACAAGGCCGTTGTCCTCGCAGCAAATCATTTTGGACGGTTTTTTACCGGTCAGATTACAGCTGCTGGAAAGGTTCCTCCAGCTAAGGTAGGTACAGCTTTTAGTGTTTCTTCATAATGAGTTAATTAAAAGTAAAAATGTGTATTATCTTAAAATAATTACTTCTTTGTGTTAACTTCACATTGTTGACTCTGGTGACACGTACAGAATTTACGAAGGACCCTCAAAAGTGATCGTTTAAGATTGCTTGAAAAAAGTGATCTTTGCTTTTCCAGATGTTCTGTTGTCTTTCCTGTCACTGAAAGGCACTGGGGTAACGTGGTCTATACAGTGTTACTAATTTTAAAAAGCTTCTAGATTGTTTCCTGTTATGGGTCACTCAGAATAGGAACCAGATCAGCCAGGTTGGAATTTGGAAAGCCGTTTATTACTGAGCTCAGGGCCCCCCAGTCTGCTCTCACGCAGGAGAGGACCAAAAGGCGGCAGCCCAGGAAGCAGGAAGGGGTTTTAAAC